GCTCTAAATAGCAGGGTCCTGGAGTACTGCCGAGCCGTCTGGCTGAGAAACTGGACTATCGAGATGCCACAGAGGGTGGCATTGAATGACAGCTCAGGCATGGGGAGATCTCCCTGCCTCCACACCCCCAACACACAGTGATGGAAGATAAGCGATCGAGCGATGGAAAGAAAGAGATAGAAAGTGACGAAGAGAGAGAGAGCTTGAAAGAGATGAAGGCTGAATGAAGAGGCATCTGTACAGAAGCCACTGGTTGCCTATGGTTTGGGCCATTACAAAAATGCGGAAAGATTTGCCCAAAATTGTGGGGAGGTTTGCAAACCGTACGGAAAATTGCAGGGAACATTTTGCCAAAAATGCAGATTGGTGAAAAGACATCAAGTACTGGATGAGAGACAACTTTCTACAGCTGAATGTCAGCAAGACCGATGCGCTCCTAATTGGCTCGCACCAGTCATGCACTCACACACACTCACACACACACACAGAGGTAATCGTACACTCTCACGCACACAGACAATCATACACACTCACACACCCAATCATACACACACACACAATCACACACACACACAATCATACACATTCACACACATAATCATACACACACACAATCATATACACACACACACAATCATACACATTCACACACACAATCATACACACACACACACCCAATCATACACACACACACAATCATACACACACAATCATACACATTCACACACATAATCATACACACACACACAACCAGACACACTCACACACACAATCATGCACACACACACAACCATACACACTCACACACACAATCATACACACACAACCATACACACTCACACACACAATCATACACACACTCATAATCATACACACACACACACAGGCAATCATCCACACTGATACAGGGAGACACACACAAATACAGAGCGAGAGATACACCCACCCGCATACACACTCAACAACACAGAGACTGAAATTTCACCTGAATTCTCCAAATAAAAGTCATTCACTTCATGGTGGTTTGATGCTATGCACAAATTGGTTTATTACAAAAAATAATCACTAGACTTTACAATGAATCCTGTGAAGCGCTTTGGGATGTCCTAATGTGAATAGCACTGTACCAAATGTTATTATGGGAAAGATGACTACAAAGAGGGATTTAAACTAATTAACTGGAATGAGGAGTTATCTGACTCAAATCACTGAGCACGTGTAAGAATTTAATAATGGAGTGAGTCGTCCTCTCTGTTTGTCCGGTGGGAAGGCTGAAGTTTTCAGTGTGTGAATTGTCCGGTGAAGCCTCTTTCTAAATGGTTCAGTCACGGCAGCATTGGCTGAAAGTTGAAAGAGCTGAAAGGATGAAAACAAAGAGAAGAGATGAACATTTTGGTGTGAAACATCTACGGTAACTGGGGTGGGCCTGGCACAGTTGGTAGCGCCCAGGCCTCTGCGTCAGTAGGTTGTGGTTGAAGCCCCACATAGAGGGTTTGAACGTTACAGTTTAGGCTGATGTGAAGCGCTTTGAGACGTCTAGAAGACGTGAAAAGTGCTATATCAAATGCAAGGATTGTTTATTGTTGTTTGTTGATGTGTCATTGCAGCACTGGGGCTGAAAATCCCCAGAAAAAACTTCATGGCCGTTTGTGAGATATTGTTCTGTGTAAATTGGCTGCCGTGTTCATTACAACACCTTGCATTTAAATACGGGATAGCATCCCAGAATGCGTACTATACTTTACAGTGATTCCTGTGAAGCACTTTGAGTCGTCTTCCTGATGTGAAAGGAATTGTATCAATATGAGGATTATTATTACCTGTAATCCATTATTTCTAGATATCAATGTCATCCGACGTGTCTTTGGTCGCTGCTTCAATTCCCTGATTCACTGTGTATTCAATCATCTTTTTCTCTTCTGCAGACACAGGAGGGAGCACGGCCTCCAGGTTTTCATTGATTGTCTTGACTCTGCTCTCCAGGTTCCTGCTGTACTCCTCCTTGTTCTTAAGTATCAGCTCCTGAATCCCTTTCGAAGCCTTGTCACAGGAACTATGTAACTTGTCACGTTCCAACCAAAAATGGTTTCCTTTTCTCGTTGGATCTAAAGCGATGAGTTTTCCCAAGCTGCTCACTTCATCCATCAGGAATTCTGTAGATATTTCTACATAGGAGTTGGAAATCATATGGACCATGTTGATGATATTAGTAGCCTGAAAAGCTTGTGTATAGATCATGTCTTTCATGAAAGACGCCATAGAATATGTAGGATGCTTCGAAGCCTCTTCAGTGTAGCAGACAAAATTATCGACAGACTCAAGACAAATTTTAATCAGATTGCATAACATCTGGAAGAAACTAATCATCTTGGCCCACTGCTCTTTAACTTTCCCCAAGGCCTCAAGTCCTTCCATGAGGATCTCAATGGTTTTATCAAAGTCTATTTCCTTCAGTTCACAGCTCCTCATCCCAGCCAAGATTTCTGTCAGTTCCTTGTTGCTTCTCTTCAGGTTTTCGAAGCTCTTGTCATACATTTCCTGTGATTTCTTTAACATCGATGTCGTCTGTTGAACTTTGAACCTGGCATTTTTTACAACTGCAGTACTAGCACTTTCCCGGCCAGTGCTCTCCTCACTGACCGCCTTTGCCATCTGTGGTGGTTTGACATTTATCCCAGAAGAGTTACTCGCTGCGGTGCAGTAGGAGCTGAACTTGCGCGCTTTGTCACAGACTGGATATATCTGCGAGATGATCTTGCTCATCATTTTCTCATCCTCTGGGTTTTTCTTCAGGTTATCAAACTCGCTATAAACCGAAATGGCCTGGTTGATCAGCTTCATGGCCTTCTGTTTAGGCCGACTCTCTTCCTCCTGTTCAAATTCACTTCTCAGTTTGACTAACTGATCCTTCGGCCAGTCTGTATTCAAGTTCCTGGTTTTCTGATCAATCACAAGTTTCATGTTGATTTTCTGATCCTCGGTCACTAAACTTTCAAGCAAGATAATCCAATTCAAGACCTGGTTGCCTTTGCTCAAGATGCTGCCTGACTTTAGTATGTCATTGGGAGAGGGCAGTGTGGAAGTGTGGGTTCCATTACGAGAGGCTCGTTTGAAGCTTTCGACAACGGCTGGTATTACAGAGTTGATGGTGTTGAAAAAATTCGACATTCCTTCAACAACAGTCATTCCTATAACTTCCCAGCCACTGGGCATGGAATTAAGTGCTGATTTGTAATCCTCTTGGCATTGTTCCATCTGCTTCTTCATTAACTTCTCCTGATTCTGTGCCATTTCTTTCATTTCTTTTGCAGACACTTCTTTGAGTTTATATTCTTCCACTTTCAATTTGACCTTTTCCAGGCTCTGCGCATAGGCACCTTTCGAGTTAGTGCAGGCCTCCAACAGCTCACTGATCAGAGCTATCACCGCAGTAAACTTGGTCTCCACAGATGTTGCCAGACTCAGGCAGGACTCTGCCGAAGAGCTAACATTGCTCAGTACTTTAGGGAGGAGTGCATGAATCATATCTTTATTTCCTTGCATTAGGATCTTGACCGAGCTCCTTACATGGCTTGGAAGGGTCAAAGAGTGAAGCCGTATCCTATCCATGTTCTTGTGGGCTTCGTTGAACGCCTCCCACCCTTGGTTGCTGACTTGAACCAGACAAGCACGGAATGACTGGGGGTATCTAATGTACTTGTAGCCATCTTTGGGCATGTTCTGATCGATGGGAAAGTCATCCTTTGCTGAAATGAATATCAATTCACCTAAAATAGCCACAGATATGGGTGCTGGCATCAGGAACTCTTCCCAGTTGCTGTAGGGCTTCATCATTAATGCAGTGTCTTTTCTGACATCCTCAGCCGTGGAGATGTTGCTCATGGTCTTGTTGATCACGGCCACAGTGTCAGTTTCAGTAGTCATGATGTCCACTTGGTCTCTGCAAACCAACGTTTTTTATAAAAATTTCAACAGCAAGTTGTATTTATAGAGGTGCCCTGGGGATAGAGCCTAGACCACACTGTTGTGTGTTCTCCAAGACTCCACCCCACAAGAAGTGCACTATATAAATGCTAGTTGTTGTGTATACAGGACCCCGCTGTGCATGGCTGTCATGGTTGCTTACAAAACATACAGACACTTCACTTGACAGGAAGTATGAGACATTCCACATTCTGGATGTAGTACGGAATAATAGGATTATTATTATAAATAACCAACTATCAGAAAGAAGAGCTCAGCTTTTATATGTCACTGCCCTTTCCTGGTGGGAACATGTCACTGCAACGACTGAAACCCAGCGTTCAGCAGAATCCATCAGTGACCTCAATCATTGTAATAACTGCAGGGAATAAAGAACCAAACAGCAAAAACATTTCAAAATAATCAACATCTCTCTCAGTTGGTCTTTCAGTGTTTGCACTGGTAAGCTGATTCAGCTGATTAAACTCCAACAGCAACAATTACAATAATAATCAGCATTTGTATAATGCACCTTTCATGCAGGGTAGCATGTCGGAGCAGGTAACCAACAGTTACCCCATAGCACACTCTATGTCACTGTACACAACTTTGTTGGTTGTGACTCTCAAATCATTGAGATGTCTCAAAGTGCTTCACAGAATATACTGTAAAGTGAATTGACTATTTTGTAGGCGAAATGCAGCATCCGCAAACAGTCAAGCATTGAGTGGCCTATTTGTTTGTGGTGCTGTACAAATGTAATCTTGTTGTTGTTGTTTGGTTGCTTGTTTTCTTCTTTATTTGTTTATTTTCTTGACCTCCTTCAACACTATCAACATCTTCCCTCTCCAATCCATTCAATAAGCACATGCCTGTTTCATATTCCCCATCCTGTGTCAATCCACCATCAATCAATAAGCTTTCAGCCTTCCTGCCTCTACTCTCTGGAACTCTTACCTAGTGTTCCTCCACTTCATCCATCCCCAAAGGGGAATGGGAATAGAAGGGTTATAGGAGGGAGTAAGCACTGGGTGGAGAGTTATGTAGAGTATACACACTGAGATGAATTGGGTGAGTTGAATGGTCTGTTCCCAGGCTGTATAATCTGTAAATCCTTAATGTCTCATTCCTCTATCAACTGAGTGAATCTTCACTGCACCTGTCCATTAGCTGTGACACTCTTTTTTAATTCCCCAAACCAACTAAGGTGTCAGGAATCTCTTGTACAGTGAACTACCTACAACTACCTCTAACATAATTGGAGTGGAGTTCTGTAGTATAGTGGTTAGTGGCCTCACCTCACAAGCAAGAGGATCCGCGTTCGATTCCCAGCAGGACAAAAGCTTAGGCAAGTTTCCTTACTCCACAAGCCTCTGTTTACATAGCAGTAAATAGAAATCCAGTGTTAGTCGATTGGTGGATCACTTTCCAGGGTCAATAATCCTTCCAAAGGGATCCACGATTGTTTGTGGGGCACTGCTGTGCGCAATTGGCTGCCATATTTCAAAATATAGTCAATTCCCCATAAAATACAGGCAATTAACTCTACAATACCTTCTGTGAAGCACTTTGAAGCACTTTTAGGAGTCCTGTAGCTCAGTGGTTAGAGCACTCGCTTTGCAAGCGAGAGACCTGAGTTCAATTCCAGGAAGAGGGCGAAACGTTGGGCAAGTTTCCTTACTCCACACAGAGCCTAATAATAATCCCTCCAAAACCCAAACAATAATAAATTGGTCATTTTCAATCTAAGACTGTTTGTGGGACATTGCTGTGCGCAATTGGCTGCCGTGTTCGCCCACAAATATACAGTCAATTCACTTTACAGTGTGTTCTGTGAAGCGCTTTGGGACGTCCTCCCGACGTGAAAAGCGCTATATCAAATGCAAGGATTATTATTATTATTATTTGGGATGTCTCAATGACAGGATATCAAATCAAGGATTATTATTTGATTTATTGTAACATGTACACAACATCCTTTGCAACTTGAAGACAATTTGCCAAAAGTCTCACAATATTCCAGATGCGGCCTGATCAATGTCTCATGCTGATCATCCCTGCTCATTCTTCATATCCTCTCATAACCCTCCGCTGCATGTCCTGTCCAACAGTGCTATAAATATCCACTTCAATGTCAACTACTTGTTCCTCTTCATGATCCAGAAACATATCAAATACATCCTTGTTAGACTTGCTACTTATTGATTGGAAAAGACTTCACCTTTCTCACCACAAACAGAGTTAAACTCTCTCTGCACTGTCCATCCAGCACTCCCAGGTCAGCAACAGCATGGGTTAGAGAGAGATCGAGAGAGTAAAGCTCCCTCATCACTATCTATCTCAGGTTAGTCACAGAATCTGTTAGAGACACATTACCACTCTCTCAACACTGTCCATCCAGCACTCCTGGGTCAGTAATAGGGACAAAGCAAAGCTCCCTCAACACTTTCATTCCACACTCCCAGTTCAAAACCATTGCTCCACCCTTGCCTCAGTCATTTTGTCCTTCTCCCACATGGAGACCGAAGGTAACTCCAGCTCATCATCTCCATCACAAATCAGTTCCTTCACTCTCTGACCCATGTCTCTCATATCCTCTTCTCCAACTCCAAATGGGAGGAGTTGATGGACTTCACCGGGTTTTAAGAGGATCCACACTGCTGCCTCTGCCCTTACTACTGCCACCCCCGCCCATTCCAGCTTCCATGCCTCCCTCCTTCCACACCTTCAACCCTGTCTCTCTGTCTTCTATGTCCTCTGTCATCTCACAACTGAAGCCCACCACCTGCTCTCATGACCCTATCCCTACATCTGACTCCCAGCTCCACGTCTTCATAGAATCATAGAATAATACAGCACAGAAGGAGGCCATTCAGCCCATCCGGCTGCTTGAAAAGAGCTATCCAATTCAATTCCACTCCCCTGCTCTCCCCATAGCCCTGGAAACTTGCCCTTCCCAAATAATTATCTACTTCTCTCTTAAAGTTGTTACCGAATTGGCTTCCACCAGCCTTTCAGAAAATGCATTCCAGATCTGAACACCTCCCTACATCTCCAACCTTCTCACACCCCAATCCACCACCTAGTGCCTCCACTCGACTGGCACCAGCATCCTGCTTGTCTCTCACACCCTCTGCTTAATAATAATAATAATCCTTGCATTTGATATAGCGCTTTTCACGTCGAGAGGACGTCCCAAAGCGCTTCACAGAACACACTGTAAAGTGAATTGACTGTATATTTGTGGGCGAACGCGGCAGCCAATTGTGCACAGCAATGTCCCACAAACAGTCGTAGATCGAAAATGACTAATTTATTATTGTTTTGTTTTGGAGGATTATTATTAGGCTCTGTGTGGAGTAAGGAAACTTGCCCAAGGTTTCGCCCTCTGCCTGGAATTGAACTCAGGTCTCTCACTTGCAAAGCGAGTGCTCTAACCACTGAGCTACAGGACTCCGCTTCACCATTGGAGGTCGCTCTCTCAGCCTCTATGCCCCCAAACCGTGGAACACTCTCCCTCAATCCCTCCGCGTTGCCCCCTTCCCCTTTTCAAGTCTCACCTGAAAACCTTTTCTTTTCGACCTCCCACCTCCCCCCAGCTTGGAGTCAGGCTCTGCCACTGTTAAGCGCTCTAACACGTTACCTTGCATGGAGGGCACTATATAAGTGCAAGTTGTTGTTATATGCCTCAGCTTTGCAAAATCTTTCCCTCCCCAACCCTCCCGTATCTCCCCCAACTCGGTGCACACTGGGACATCCTCCCAATGTGAAAGGCACTATATATATGCAATTGTTGTTTTTGTTGTTGTTGTGCACTCTGTGTCCAGAACTCCCAGATCAGCTACATACAGGTAAGATAATAATAATCACTACATTTAATATAACAACAACTTGCATTTATATATTGCTCTCCACACAGGGCAGCTTCTCAGAGTGCTCAATATAATAATAATAACAATAATAATAATCTTTGCATTTGATACAGCACCTTATCATGTCTTCCAGACGTCTCAAAGTGTTTCACAGGATATACTGTAAAGTGAAGTAACTATATTTGTGGGCGAAATGTGGCAGTCAATTGTGGACACCAGTGGTCCACAAACAATTGTGGATTGAAGTGACCAAATTATTCATTTTTTTCTTGAGGGATTATTATCAGGCGTGTGGAGTAAGGAAACTTGCCCAAGGTTTTGCCCTGGTGGGAATCAAACCCAGGTCTCTCACCTGCAAGGTGAGTGCTCTAACCACTGAGCTACAGGACTGGTAAAACACGTTAAAAAAATAGTTGGGAGTTGTGTAGTGGGTCAGTGCAGTTCGCAGTGGAATCGCTATCGATTCTAGTATATCTGTGTGTATGTAAAATATAGATATACCATAGATATATAAAAGATGTAGCAGCTTTCACATCAGAATTATGTCACAAAATATATCGTAAAGACTTTGTATTTTGTGGGTGAACATGACAGCCAATTTGCCCCAAGTCAGCTTCAGCATGGCTTCAGAGACAGAGTAATGCATCCTCTACACTGTACATCCACACTTACAAGTCAGGGTTAGAGACAGAGTAACACAACCTCCTCACTGTGCGTCCGGCATGCCGAACTCTGTAGATGTACTTACCTGCGTGTTCCGAGCAGTTTGTTGTCACAGGAGGTTGGGTGTGGAGCTGGGAGAAGATCGGCAGCTGGTGGAGTATGAAGTGAGGAAGCTCTGGTTTGTGTGACGGTGTAAAGCCAGTTTATATGGAGCTGAGCAGTGGGAGGTGACTGCGAGTCCTCCAGTGGATTGGCTGAGCAGATTTTGAAAAATTGCTGTGCCTCGAGTGGTTACCCTGGAAAGAGACAATGTGCTAGAGGAACAAGAACTGA